TCAGCTTTTGACCCATAAAATAACAGTATCAGAGACCTGAGCCCCCAACTATTTTTGGATGATAAACATTTGTATCAGGTCAGCTAAACATGGGCATAGTAACAATATTTTTATACTACATTTTTCCATTTTAAATATACTAACCTCACTCCTTTGTAACAACTAAGGCAAAAATGTCATTAATTCAGGACCCCACCTTGATGTTTCAGGACCCCACTTTGGGTCCCGACCCCAACTTTGGGAAACACTGCTCTAAACTAGTCAGTAATRGCACTTCTTACAGTTAGTTTGCAATGCACTGGTTTATTCATGCCTACTTCCAGTTTGTCGGGACACCCTAATGTTCATATTTACCTGTGCTCTGCAGTCTACAGTATGAAGATTTGAACATGTAGTAACCAGTTTTACATGTTTTAGTAACTGTAAAAATGTACATTTTTAATTGCTGGGTTGCAACCAAAACGTGGATTGCAGAGCCATTTTCAGTTGGACAAAGGCTTTTAACAGAGAAAAAAATGTTGAGTAAAAAAGTCATTCTGATTATTATGTAGCGTTATGCTTCATGCTTTAATAGAGTTTTACTCACCGTTAAGTTGTTGTGAGTAGCTGCTGTTTTGAATTATGAACTCTCCCACCTTCTGACAAGGAAATCCCACTGGAGGGGGTGTTCCAGTTTAACTTCATGACTTGTCAATAGGAAAGTCCCACTTTCCAAAACAACTAGGTCGCAGCAGAAAATGCAAAATAAAAATTTCACATGGCAAATTTCGGCCGCCAGCTACTTTTGAACTCTGTGCACCTCTACCTAGTGGTGGGATGCTATAATTTTGTGGGTAAAATAGTTGACATGCAGTTTGTGGTCAATGCTTTAAAGCAGCATACGCTTATTTTAAGACAATACGTATTTGAAGCTCTAGTGGGCCATATAAAACACTGTGGAGGGCCACATTTTCCCCCATGGACCTTGAGTTTGACACGTACTTTATATAAAACTATGTTGTCCATCTTCAGCAATAGTTCTTTTGAGTTCTCAGACTCAATGACTAGTGGAGCTCTGGGGAATATTTTTCTACTCATGTAAGGTTAAAATCCATGTCATGGAGAAAGACGAAGCTGTTACCCATCAGACCCATGTATCACTTGGGTTTATTCATTGTAGAAGCTGCATGAAGAAAGCTGAAAACACCAGAGGACGGCAGCAGCAGTGACTGTTGGACAGAGCGGGGCAGACAGACGGGACCGTGAGATTAGACCTGAATATGAACCGTGTTGATTCGAAAGCCTGGTCCATGTGCAAAGCTGATGAGGAGCAGATAATATTCAAATTCAGTTTGACTGTGAAAAAGTACTGGAGGCAAAGACTAGAACATCACATTTACATACAGCTTTTTATTATTATTATTTTAGAAGCTCTAAGTGTTTTTCAACATATTTCTAAGGCAGACAAGCTGCTGCTGCTGGTCAACCAACTAAACACTGTAAACAAAGAGCAGAATAAAACATCTGTCAATAATGCTGCAGTGTTGGTGAGAGGAGAAAAGAGCATGAGAACTGCCACAAGGTGAA